TGCTGGAGGAGATACACGTTATTAATAAGACAAAACAAAATACATATAATAAACTTCCGTTTTCTAACGATTTGAATACATGTGTTTTTGTTTTAATACTAGGATGTAAAATGAACTTCGTGTGTTTTTAATAGAAAAAGATTATAGTAATATATTTTACTCTGATTAATTTCACTTGGGATATTCCACAAGCAACGAGATTTTCAAGAAAAAAGTATAGAAACAAGTTATTCTAGATTTTATTTCATTATATGTTCAAAGTCGTTGCCCTGATTATTTACCTACAACTGCATCAGTTCTAGCCACTTATCGAAAATTTATTTTCTATACTTATCTTTGCTAATCGAGTTCATGATCTTGAGTTTGATTCAGCACAAAGATAGTGAGCTTCTTTGATTGGTTAGGTTCTGTTTGATTAAATCTAACAAGCAAAAAGAATTCATATGATATCAGGTTGGAAGAATTCAATAGTTGCCAATAATATTGGTATCTTCCGATTCGAGATTTTGTGAGACATCTTTAAACACATGCGATTTGGCCTAGTGGTATTGATGTTTTGTGACATACGTCTCTGATACTGATCTTTTTGTTCAGATTCTGTCAGTGAGAGAAGTTTCGGATAATTACCGATGTAGTAATAGTAATCGATGGTTTGTACTTGTTCAATATGATGCATCAACACAAAATCAGTCGTTTGAAAAACGATGCAAAGCCACAGCTTTGGGAACAACGTGACTGTGTCAAACAACAGCTAGCCGAGTTCTACTGATTGATGTTCCGGCAGTATTAATAATAGTTCGAACAGATGAAATTTATCGATTACTTCTCGACTTTTATTGAAAATTACGAGTTATATATGAGTTTCATGATTTATACTCAATTCAGATACTTTTCAACAGTCGTATTAACTAATGACAATCATCAATTTAATATATAATAAATCTTATGCACGTGATAATGACAATCATGAAGATTTCCAACTAACATTAGATAAATAAAATGGAATATTGTATGATATTTGTCAGAGACAATGCTCCAACTAGTATACTATAATGGGGAAAAAGTTACCGAGAAACATACAATAAGAAAAAATTTGTATAGAATTTTAAATATATTAGTACCATTTATTGTATTATTGGTTTTTTGTTTACGATCTCGAACTTGATGTTGCATATTTCCTACAAAACTTTGATTTTGATTGCTTGACAAAGATTAAAAGAATATTTTCTTTTTTTTATTCTTGAAGACAATAGAAGCAAGTATTACGGTTCGTTATCTTATCCTTGATTCTAAGAATATCTATAAAAATGACAAAACATGAAAAGAAATTTTATAGGTTAATACATGCAAACCATCATGTAAACATGATTTAAGTCTATTGTTTTAATCTTATCACTTCATTAGTTTGGTATCAATGTCAAGGATCAAGAAATATTATACAAAAGGAGAAATGAAAAAAGAAAACATCATTCGAAAGCTAACGACTCGATTAGATTATTGTTGATCGATTGCTTTTTTCTTTTTACTTTTACTAACTACTATGGCTCTAATGTTTCTTATATTTTTTGTTTTGATGAATTTATCGGTTCTTGTTGCACTAAAGCCGAAAAATTTCTCAAAAACCAAAACAACTACAACATTCGTTCTGTTTGAGGACTTGCTCAAAAAGAATGAGTTTTGTATCATCAAGAATACAACTGACATCAGTTGGTATAAAATATGCTGAATTTTTTCTCTGTGTCACACATATTTATTCTTACAACGAACAGGTTGTCGTCGAACCGAATCGTCTAATCTTCAAAGATCTCAATTCAACAATTGAGTACTACACTAGTGAGCACAATATTCATCTTCTTTATAAACAATTGAACTTTGTTTCTTTTGTAATTTTCAATTAAACACAATAAAACTAAGTATGAACAACGGTTATTTATGAAAACATGAGAATAGTACGATCAGAATACCTTTGATCTTGGTTTCTTTCTCTTGCGTAGAAATGCCGATCAGGTTTCAGTCAAATATGTGATTGAACGTGGAAGCAATGTTGTTTTTTATTGGAAGTGAGTAAATTCATTATATTTTCGATTCCATTCATGTCTCCTCTTTTGCAATAGACATTATTCCTTAAAAAAGGGTTAAATTAGAAAAAATCTTTACATTTTCATTGTTAGAATTTTAAGTTGACATATAGAATGTCAAATTGGAATCAAAATGAACAAATGAAGAGTGATAATAATCTAAAAATGATGTGATTTTATGAAAACTCATCTAACATACTTGAAATTCCGATTTAAAATCATTATTGATGAGTAGCTGATTTAGGTTTTAATTAAAATCTTTTGTTTTTATTTGCAATCAAACGCTTGGTTTCGAAGCGATTTTCAAAACAATAGTGTGGAAGACTCAATTCAGAACATGTCACATAAAATATCAATGTAATATTCATGGCTATCACATCACTCATAAAAAAAAAACTTACAGCTATTGTTCCTGTATCTCCTGGTGATCATTTGGTAAAAATAGAAAAGTGGAAGATGTTCCTTTGATTCTTTCTATAATTTCTATTATTGTTGATGCATCAAATGTTTAACAAATTGTTTACAATGATTAGAATGTTTTTTTTTCTTGAGTATTTATATTCTAACATTATAATAGTATCTCATATCTTCTACTTGATTTCCAATCTTTTATTATTTATCATTGCTCCTTCTGCCACCTTATTTCAATAAAACTTAAGTGCTTCGATTCATTGATAATGTTTCATATGAATATATTCAATTATGCGTAGTTTTTAGAATAAAAACAAAACTTTGTCAAGTTTGAGTTAGTCCACAAAAAATACTGCAAATATCAAGAAAAGTTTCACATAATTAAATCGTACACAAAAAGTGTACGATTGAAGACACTCATTTCGTATTTTAACCTTCCTATTCCCTAGACTGAAAGGCTAGGGTCTAGAAACCGAAATTCACCTGTGTCTGTCTGTCTGTCTGTCTGTCTGTCGGTAACGCGGTCAAAATGGCCATTTTTTTGGCATATGTGACCATTTTTTTGGCACAAGTGACCATTTTTTTCGGCACAAACGGCTATTTTTTTACTAAAATTAACTAGGTAACTATGGTACAAATGAGCATATAACTATGGCACAAACGGTCATTTTTTTGGTACAAACGACCACGTAACTATGGCACGGGTGACCATATAGCAACCATGGTACAAACAACTATTTCGGTAACTATGGCACAGATGACCATATAGCAACCATGGTAAAACAACTATTCCGGTAACTATGGCACAGGTGACCATATAGCAACCATGGTACAAACAACTATTCCGGTAACTATGG